CGTGAAATCGTTTAACATAATACATACGTACACGTGTATTAATAGACCGGTTCAATTAGAACGTTTCAGTATACGTTTCTGGGCACTGCAGTACACGATGGAGTTCATAAACCGTGAGAAAGTCGTATCGCAGTCCCGCAGAATGCAATTACAGGAGAGAGGTCACATTCGGCCGTCCCGATCCGTGCCGCCTTCAAATTATTAATCAGGAATTGCGTCCGCCTGCAAGTAGTTTCGAATTACACAGAATTATCGGTTTTCAACCCGAACGGATTACGTATCCTCGCGCTGCAATTATGCGAGGCTCCTCTCACTGCTACCATCAGAGGGAAACTCAATTGAAACGGCAAAGGACAGAGAGAAAGACAATCCTCCCTTACCAAACTCTAGTTCGATTCAGGTGCGATCTCGACACATTGTTAAATTTCCGTAGCTCGTCAATCAATTAATAGCCGGCTCTTGTCAGAAGCGTTGATTCCCACGGTTATTTTCGAACGCTAGAATCTGGGCTCTTCGACGAGGAAAAATCGGAAGAGAAACCAGGCCGTGAAAGGTGCCGTGACATCGACTAGTTGGATGATGTACGACGCGTGAAAATGGGGGAAATGATGAATTTTGTAGCTGTGCATAGAGCGTCATAAATCGGAGACGACAGCCGACGCTTTTGACGAGAAGTTAAATAGCGCGATGTGTCGCGTTACAGATGAGCGGGAATTGATGTAGTCGATGCACTACATTTCTATCCTCGCACTTTTTAACTGGACTCAAAGCTCGACTTTATTTACCCGTGTACTAATATGATTAATAGTTGAATGTGATTAATGGCACTCGGTTTTTGTTCCTTCAAATGAGCGAAGCGTTATTGCTTCGAATGATCATTTCGAAAAGAAGATAATCTGCGCGGCGTATAAAAGTATCGTTTTACTTAATAAAAATGTACGAGTAAACGGTCCCATGAAACAGATGTTCAAAATGATAGCCATAAGCATCCGACGTAATCGTGAAGGGAGAACGATTATGCGTTCTCGTCGAGCATGTTTTTTACCCATCGTTTGTATGCGTGCTCACCATGTTCCCCCTTGTTTAGTTCCTTTTTTCACGGAGGCAGCACATTTCGCCTTAATTTTTTAGTCATACTGCTTAAAATAAAATTACAATTTCTTCTGATCTATAAAATTCGGACACTTGAATTCAAATCGTAATATTAAAATGAATTTTTATCATCGTTCTTATATTGTATAAAAAAAAAACAATTTAATTCTGTCCTGATTATTCCTCCAGATTAGAAAATAATTAAATACTTTTACCAAATTATAATATTAAAATGAATTTTTTCATCGTTTCTCTATTATACAGATAGAAAAAAATTGAATTCCATCCTGATTGCACGTGGAGATTAGGAAGTAATTAAATACTCTTATCCAATTATAATATTAAAATGAATTTTTTCATTGTATAGAAAAAAAAATTGAATTCCGACCTGATTACTTGTGGAGATTATAAAGTAATTAAATACTCGTATAATCTTGGACTATTCTAACTAAGATTCCGTGGGTGTTTATGCCTGCAACACGAGTTAGGATGGAGTAAACCGTGCCACCCTCACCACGTGCATGCCTTCATCAAGTCTACGTCAGCTATCCTAAATATCTACGTTTCCTGTTCGCAGAGTGCTCTTCAATTAAGAAGATTGGCAAGCTCGGATAGGCAATTACATGTAAATTGATTTCCTAGGCGTACGTAGACATTAATCCCAACTAATCCGTGGCGCGAACAATGCTCGCGCAAACATTATCGTTTAGAGTGGATAAATGCTTCCAGTTGTTGGTTTAATCAACGTTGGTTACTTGTTCATCACTCTTACTAGAGATCTTTCGAATAGTGCTCGCGTAGACAATTGATTCCAGTGATACTCAATCGCAATCCTAAGATAATTGTGTAACAATTAAACTGCGGATTTTATGCATTTATGACAAAATCGAGTATATATAAAAAACGGAGAAAATAAGTATAGCGGAC